TATCCAGATCTGTACACCGTGGCTTGAAGCTGAGGATTACCCTCTTTTGCTTGGTAAATAATGGATTATGAAATAAGCTTGAGAATGTGTGGAAAACAGCTTAGCCCACTTGCAGAGAGCTGATACAGATTTTTGTGTGGAAGCTGGTAGAATATAGTAAGTGAAAGAAGTTGCTGATTAGTGATGGTATATTCATGGTTTTGACTCATGCCAGCAAGTTTGCTAAATTTCTGTAACTAGTTTTTCACTGTTACCCCAAGAAGTAGGTATAGTACCTGTGTTGCTATTTTAGCCTGTTCTTTTTTGTTTCTTCTAACTATGCTGAAATACAGTGTGCCTGTGTTTGTTCTAGTTTACATTTAAGATCATTTCAGTAAATGAAATTATGATGTGAAATCATGACGTTTTTGGCTGAGAAACCGAAAGTAGCTGAACTTATAAATCAATTTGTCTTTGGAATAGTGTTCCCTCAGCATGCTCGTTATACTACCATAAACTGTCAGTAAGCTTAATAAAGTAGTTAAATATATATTCAACTTGATCTACATTATGCAGGGTTAGAGCCTGCCAATTCATATGGCTGTAAAACACTGTGTTTATTTGGTACTTTTAAACTAATGAATATAATGGCTATAAAATCACACTAATTTCTCTGGTTTGAAATCGATTGAACTGGAAGAGGTCACTAGTGAGTCACGCAGCATATTCTGTCTGGCTTGTGATGGAGTTTTCTTGTGCAGTTATCCATTCTTAGAAGATTAAGAGGCATAAAGGCTGTTTTGAATTAAAAGGAATTTTAAAATTTCATGTATTTTAATATGCACTCACCTGGTATGTTTCCAAAGCCTGACTCATTTTAGTCAAAATACTTTACCTACCCCCCCCCGAGTGCTTGGAATTGAGTCATTGTGGAAGGTGTTGCATATAGCTTGGTTTTAGCTTGCATCATCCAAGGAGTATGTAAATAGAAAGGTTTACAGGTTTAAGACTGCAAGAACTGTTTTCAGAGAATTCAGACTCTTGCCTGTTTTGTTTGTGTTTCAGGCTCAGCAGACCTGGGGGTGTGTCTCCACAGATCATCTAGTGGTTTGGATTTACCTATGAAGGTGGTAGATATGTTTGGGTGCTGTTTACCTGTGTGTGCAATACATTTTGAATGGTAAGAGCTTGCTTATTTTGATACAGTTTAAGGGGATCATATAAAACAGTATTCTTACAAAGCAAGAGTTCAGCAGCTACAGCATGTATCAAATTCCAGTATTATGCCATAAAAAAAAATTATTCGACAAGGTGAGTTAGAAATCAAGATTGTTTTATTTTAAGTTAAAAAATTAATACTATTTTCTGCAAAGGTGGGAGCATTTAATGCAACCACTTGCCTTAAAAAATAACTACCCTGTAATCCTTGGTTTCCATGTACTTCATTTAAAAAAAGCTTCCTTCTGTGTAGGCGTATCTCTGTTCTGTGAGGGGCTGAGTGTATGTGTAGTTGGTCTCAGAATTTACAGTCATTTGGGGAAACAGTAACTTTGATAAAGAAAGATAAATCCCCTGTGAAGATCTCATGAACTGGATCATGGACAGATTTTTCCTGTGGGTGAACTTCAAAGTAGATTATTGCCTTGATTTTTAACGTGTGTCTGGATGAATGGCACGAAGACAGAGTGAGGGCCCTCTTGTACTGTCATGGTAGAGTTGGATAGTTTGTCATAGAAGGGAGAAACAATCTTTAAAAAACTGCCTTCTTGGTTCCATTTTGTCAGGTATGAAGCTCATACCTAGACATCCAGGATCATGATGTTACAGATATCCTAGCAGGGTCTCTTCGGGTGTCACTATGCAACTTTTTAAATGTGTATGTCCCACTGGCTGCTTTTTGTGTGACGTTTTCCTCTATGACTTTTCTTCACAGTTTACATGAACTTGTGAAACACAATGAAAATGGCCTGATATTCAGGGACTCGAATGAACTTGCTGAACAACTGAAGGTAAAGGTTTGACTGATTTCTTTCCCACTAGCTATAACCGCAGAGGGGCGACCATGTGAGCTGCCTTTTTGTATCTGACTGTCATCTGTGTATTTTGCATTCTCGGAAGATACTGCTTTGCCTGGTAAATGTTATTGTCCTCACTTCTATTTCAATATGAATCTGAAGCTGGCAACAACATTTTAAATATTGCCATCGTTCACTATTTATAGGGCCAGACCAAAGAGCACTCTCTTATTGCAGCATTGTAGTCAAGGGTTAACGTTGCGGGGGCTAGAATGAGCCTAAAATGTAATATGATGGTATTTTTCTGTGTTCTTCCTTTTTTTAACTTACAGATGCTTTTCTTGGGATTTCCTACACTGGAAGGCAAACTTCACAACTTCAGAAAAAACCTCCGTGTGTCCAAGCAGCTGCGCTGGGATGACAGTTGGGACCAGACTGTTCTTCCTTTGCTTGGGCAGAATGAATGACTTTTTAGGGGAGGAAGGTGTCAAAAAGCTAATATATTCCTGGATAAACAGTGAATAAACACTTTGTATTGTCTAGCGTTGCAGTTTTTAACTACTTCATCTTGGGACGATTGTTTGGACACACCTTTTCCTTTACAATTTGAGCTTCTCGTAAGAAGAATAGTGCTGAAGGTGCAGCCGAGGCTATTGTGTGCCGATGGCGTAAGTCTTGAGGGAAGACAGGGTTCCTGCACTGAAGGAGGGCTTGGGATGAACCTTGAGAAAGTGGGAGGGAGGTTTAGTTACTCTGGAAGTTCACATGCGCAAAAGCTGTTACCTGTGCTGCTTGAAGGTCACTTCCTGGTGAACATACTTAAATACATACGTAAGCTATTACCAGTTATACCTACTGTACAGTAAGCACTTCAGTAGGTAATTTGAGTGTTTTTTCTTGCAAGTGGGAGATGCCTTTTATTTGAATTGTTTTATTTGAACTGAGGATACGGTGAGTTTTTATTTTTTCTGCCAGTTAATATTCTTGGCTAGTCTTCCTTAGACAAGTGCTGAATATCCTCTTGTATGATTTTATTGTGACAGAACCATTTAGTTTCAAAATTGTTTTCCTTTTTACGTGTGTGCAAGAAAATGAAAGCATAGCTGCTGGTATGTAACAGCTTTATTGAACACTTAAGAGGAAAACAGACTTCAGTGCGTGTTGTCCTTGTGCACTGAGGTGAATGTGCCTATTTACTGTGAGAAAGAACATAAATTTTATCCCTTCTTGAACAGATGAAAAGGAAAAATAAAACTAGAACAGGTTATTGAAGTATGTATAACCTAATAAAAGGGCACTTCACTTTCCCAGTGCTTACTTGGGTATACCCTTCATCTTTATTTTTACTGTTAATATTGGTTTCATGTGCAGACCTAATGCTTGCCAGATGCTTTTGTCATCACCTTTTGAATTCTTTATAAAATATGTGTCAGTTACTTAAGGAATAGATGTGCTTGGTTTTATCATGTGATTACTGCTTGCATTGAGCCTCTTTAGAGTTCAGTGGTGGTTTCTGCACCAGTGTTTTTAAACCTGCTTGCTGAGTAATCATTTAATGTCTGCTTTTGCCAGGCTAGACGGCCATTTCCTAATCCTGCCTTTCCCCTTCTGCAGCATGGTTACAGGAGACACACTCTCTTTTCAAAAAAGATTGTTGACAGCCATTTGGTTGCATTGGTGGGAAGGTGAAGAGAGTCTTAAGTTGCTTACTGCAGGGGTTTGGCAGTTTCACTAGTTTACTGGGTGAAGAATGATCCATAAAGATGTATTTGCTGATTTATTTATTTATTTACTATTTTCTTTCTGTTTTCAAGCAAAATTCTGTCTGGTGGTATGGCCATTCCACTTTAGATGTTGATATGCACATGGAGGTAGTTAGGCACTTCTCTAATTAAACAGTAATGCCAATAGCTTTAAAGAGGTTTCATCCTCCTATAATAAAATTTTTTAGATCCAAAATTCTGAAACAAAGCGTAGTGGGATAACTTCGCTATATCCAACTTAATACTAGCAGTCATGGCCTCCTTCAACTGGAAGAATAAGATGATTCTTCATGTTTCAAGTTACCTGTCATCTATCGCTACAGGAGGAGCAGGCTAAGTTCATCTTCTTCTAAGTTGCTTTTAAAAAAAGTACAGAAAAGGAAGTCAAGAGAGGAGAAAGAACAGCATATTTGGTTTGCTGCTTTAGGATCAATACTGTCCAACAGGAAAATGATTAATGGAGTACGGAGAGTTTCAGAGAAGGTGAGCTAAACTCTTCCTCCTTGCAGTACACAGAGCACTGCTACAGAGTGCGATTCTTTCTGTATTTTCTGGCCAGTCGGAGAGGATGGCTTCCTGATAGCGAGTTGTGAGAGTGCCAGTGTGAGACAAATGTAAATCAAATTCTGATTTTTTGCTATCACTGCAGAATAAAGATGCACTTGATGTACAGCAGAGTTTATGACCTCCTCTTACAGCACCATGTAAGCCTGTGATACCATCTACTATATTTACTGTAGGTATTATTAATTTTTTAATATGACCCGTACTGCAAGTATGCAAGTATATACAGGCAAGTATAAAAAGCAGACAACAATTACAGCTTGTTTTAATGTTAAAAAAATATTTATTACTATGAAACATTGTATTGCTCCCTTGTCAATATGCGATATTCCTCCTGTGATCTTGCAGATGTGCCTCCATTATTTACAAATCAAAACATAGCCAAAAAAAAAATAAATACAGTGCAATTCTGTTGTCTCTACAGAATCAAAGTGCAGTACAGTTAGGGTTTTTTTTTGCTGCCACTTGAGGCTCAGAGCTGCTGTCAGGGGCAGCAGCTTGCTTGCATACATGCTGACAGTTACAGGAAGAAACGTACCTCACTCTGACAACAGTCTGTGCATACAGTTGTATCCTCAGTGCCTCTCATGTACGCTTCTAGAATTCAAGATAATCTTGTTGCAAGGATGAGATAGCTCCTGTTGGTCTGAAAATTCTAATTGTGTCATATTTGCTAAGTCTATACAAATAACTGTAGAATAGTTACATTCGGCTGCATGTCATAGGGAAATATACTGTTGCTGTGGGCTGGAATAATCTGCCATCCGATCCCAACTTTATCTGTAAAGAAAAACACTGGGAATCATGGTTTTGCTTAATAAAATGAAGAGCAAAAGTTGCATGTCAAGTTCTGCAAGAAGACATCTGTTAAGGCAGGCTACAGGCAAATGCTTATGGGTATGTATTTTTAAAAATTTATAGGTGTGCTTGTGCTATGCACTCAGCGTAATTTTGTGAATTAACTAATTGCTGTAGGCCAGCTGTACAGCTAGTAGACTGCAAAAGACAAGCTTTTGAAGAGTATAGCAAGAAAAATCCAAAATACCTCCCTATTTTATTTAATCTCTAGGGGTTGGTTTTTTGGACCCTCAAAGAACAGATAAGGTAAAGGGTTTAGGCTGCATCTCAAACATTATCACTGTGACAGTGCAGCACAGATGTTCCTCTTCTTAAGCTTAACCCTTTTTTAGTTTCCTGTTGCCACCACACTCGCAATTCAGAAGCTGGCACTCTTAACAAATGTGAGTTGTGATAGACAGGATGTGGCAAAAAGCTGAGTTCCAATCTCCTGATGAAATCCGTGTGGAACAGTTACTGCTCTTAAGCAGTCAGCTCCTAAATCCAGCTCCAGGATAAGAATCTCAGTATCGGACAATACCCATCACCAAACAGCGTTCCCGTTCGTCTCTCCTACAGATGAAGTAATGGGGAAAGAGGCCAGAACTATGGATACACTTGATGAAAGAGGCACCTACCAAGTTCCACCTGGAACAGGTGATATGTGTCTGGGTTACGAATGGTGAAAGCAATGTAGACCTCAGGAGGTTTTCTGTCTGCGCTGAGAGTGGAGAGTTTCTGTAGCACTCCAACAAGGGCTGAAGTTATCTCTGGATCATATACCACATCTGCACAAAAAGGAAAACATGAAATATTTATTGGATAAGTAAATAAGCAAAAAGCATAATTAAAACTACAAAATGAGAAGATAAAATATTTACCTTACAGGAGAATATGATTGAGGGGTTAAAAAATCCCAATAAGAGATCTTTGAAAATGCCTCTATGTGCTGTGTGAAGTGGCCCTCATCTCTAACATCAGTCCAACATCACTGAAAAAAAAAAATCAGTGCTCCTTTTTGTAAATGGATTGTCAGATACTGCATTTAAGCCCATCTTAAGTGAGACAGCAAAGACACTGAGCGTTGGTACTCTGTGTTACAACTGTCCTTAGCAGAACGAAACTGCATTGTTAAAAATCTTTATTTTAGAGGCTGATTGCAAAGGACTTGATTTGAACTGCAGCATTTTTCATCTTGAATAATTTCCTTGAGAGCAGAAATAGCGATAAAAGGTAAAACTGATCACTAAAGGGTACAAAATCTCAGCTTTACTGATTAGCACTGTGATTCTGAATCGTGTCAGTCTCGTGTTCAGGAGTGACACTCAAGAGGTGGTTGTTCACTACGCAGAAGTGTCAAGGCATGTGCACGTACCATGGACAGACAGACCGGCCACTCCTGATGCAACGTAATAAGGGAACGTCCTGCAGTAACTAGTAACAGCAAGCACTAGATACATAGAAATTGCCCTCAGTTCTGAGTTGCTTTGCCTTCATGAGTCCAGCCTGTGCTGGTTTGTGCATTCTCTGAACAGTACAGTTGGCATCAGGTAACATACATTGACTTTATTTTACAGAATTCACATATTCAGTGCATCGTGTGATACCTTTGATGACAAAGGCAGTATATTTTGTCATTTTTTTCCACCTGAATTCTTCAGTAATTTTGGCTTTGCAGAGCCCCAAATCAGGGAATAAAATTCTGTAGCTACAGCTAAGAAATTTTACTGCTGCTAGATTTTCCATTATTAGACTTTTTTAATACACTCCCTCCAGATTTATAGATAGGCAAGTTCCAAAAAAAGGTTTGTGGTTTGTTTTTTTTTTAATGTTACCCCTCAAGAGAATGCCAAGATTGCACGTTATTACTAATGAGGCTCTTAAGAGTGACAGATTTATCATCTTCTCTTTCTGGATTTAAAAAAAATGCTTATTCCTGCATGATAGCACACAGTGAGGCATAATCAGAAGTGTAACGTACCTGCTGCAACGATGACGTCTGGCTGAAGATCCAACAGTTGTTTTTCTGTGACTGAGCCCCAGTCAAGTTCTGCTACAACTAGTTTTGGGGTTTGGTGATTTGTTGCTTCTGCCTCCTGGCCTTGGGACTCCGTTTGGATGTGCTGGGTAGTTCCGGGCTCCAAGACAAAGCCATTCAAACGGAGGTTTTCTGTCAGCTGTTTGAGCACACAGTGGTGGTAGTCACTGAATATGTACGTCTTGGGACTGCAGGTTTTACAGATTGCAATTCCAGTGAAGCCAATCCCACTTCCCAATTCCAAGACTGTCCTGAAAGGTAATGCGTAAAAGAAGTACTTGTTAGGACTCTAAATTGAGTTAGGAAGTCAAAACAGTCTAAGTATCTCTAAACGTAAAATAACTTACAGATTATTTCAATAATTTTTGAGTAAACCTTCTACAATCTAATCTTTGCTTCAAATAACTGGGAGCGTTGGTAAACACTGAAGATGCAATTGTAAGAAGAAAAATTAATTACTTGAAATACTGCTTTTGTGTATGGTACAAAGCATTTCCACCACAGGGATGAGATACATTCCCACCTGCTTTTAGACTTCTGCAGCATGGTTGTCTCCATCTAAACTGGTTGTCCAATTCTTTTCATATTCAGTAGAGAGAAACGGACACTTGAGCAGCACAGTTCCTTGTGAGGTCGGTATTTTAAATTAACTTAGCTGAATCCTTCCTTGACAGTGCTGGTTCCCCTCGACTGCTTATAAACACAGTCGAGACGATGAGATCAGATCTGCACACCTGCACACTGATCATCTGAAGTTAGGTGAGATGAATCCCATCGTGGAGTGAATTAAAGTTACTGGCTAGGTAGTGCGGTAGCTGAAATTTAACAGCCTGCTTCACAGAGCAGGTCAGACTGCATGGTGGAATGGTTTTGGTCTTAGAACCTGTCTTAAAAGAACTACGAGGTCCTCTCCTGGATTTAAGTTCAACTGTTGCAGAACAGAGAGCAGCAGTTACCGAGTAGCAAAGGGGTGTAGTCATTTCAGGTATTTTGAAGATAAATATTGTATATTATTAAATTACAGTTGTGTAGCTCACAATATGAATGAAAATATCTTTCCCCATAGAATCATAGAACTATTGAGGTTGGAAAAGACCTCTAAGATCATGAAGTCCAACTGTCAACGCAACACCACCACGGCTGCTAAATCATGTCCAGAAGTGCCACATCTACACATTTTTGGAACACCTCCAGGGATGGTGACTCCAACGCTTCCCTGGGCAGCCTGTTCCAATGCCTGACCTCTCTTTCAGTAAAGAAATTTTCCCTAATATCCAATCTGAACCTCCCCTGACGCAAGTTGAGCCATCCTTCTGTCTGTGCTGCTGTGGTTACCTGTTACTGAAAACAGCAGAGTTCTCTATCGCCCATTCAGCGAGATGAAGCGCAGCGTCCCATGTGACGAGCCCCGTGGTTCCTCCAGAGATAATCGCCACGCTCTCGGACAGGGTAACAGACTCACCCGTGGGCTGGAGGACACACACAAGAAGATACAGATGGATCAGCACAGACAACAGGTTTTACAGTTTACAATCAATATTAGTGCCTGGAAAAAGGTAGGAAGCAGTCTGGGTGTCTGGGGCTTTACTTTTAAAGCCAATTATTACTTAGTTCAGATGATTAAAAGTGATTTATAACAACGCGGCATTAGTTCTTACAGTATCATACATAATCACAGAATGTTCGGGGTTGGAAGGGACCTCTGTGGGTCATCCTGTCCAACCCCCCTGCCGAAGCAGGGTCACCTAGAGCAGTCTGCACAGGACCGTGTCCAGGTGGGTCTTGAATATCTCCAGAGAAGGAGACTCCACAGCCCCTCTGGGCAGCCTGTGCCGGTGCTCCGTCACCCTCAGAGGGAAGAAGTTCTTCCTCATGTTCAGACGGAACTTCCTGTGCTTCAGTTTGTGCCCGTTGCCCCTTGTCCTGTCACTGGGCACCACTGAAAAGAGCTTGGCCCCAACCTCCTGACACCCACCCTTCAGATATTTATAAGCATTTATAAGGTCCCCTCTCAGCCTTCTCTTCTTCAGGCCCAGCTCCCTCAGTCTGTCCTCAAAGGAGAGATGCTCCAGTCCCCCAATCATCTTTGTAGCCTTCCGCTGGACTCTCTCCAGTAGCTCCTCCTTACCAGTAAGTAGTTCTTGTAACAGTGAGTAGATTCTTCCTCATTTAAAATGTCTGCCAGTGTATCGTACAGCTCATCCAGGGGTTCAGCTGCTGTGGATTCATGCTGTGCCAAAGAGAACAGGGCAGTCTCAGGTCTCATCGAGCAGAAAACGCACACACATTAAGTACCACTTTAATACATCATTGGCTCTAATATTTACACTGAATGCTATTTTTTGTTAATACAAATAATTCAGCTTGGCCCATAATGTAAAACTGGCATATTTTCAAGGAAAAAAACAACCCACAAATACTTGCAACCACCATGAAAAGTCAGCGCTACCTTTTTGATGAGTTCAGCTAGAAAACATCTTCTGTACTTGGTGGAAGGGGGATATTTTACACACAAAGGGTGGAGAATAGTCTGAAACAACAAAACAACAACTGCAGCTGAAACCAGTTACCAAGTGAAGGCTTTATGAAGGGCAGAAGGGGCCAGAGAAAGACACGGGAGCCAGGAATTGGCTCTCTGCGTCACGAAATGCATTGCAATTTGGTCTGTAGCTAAAGGCAGCGATGCTGAGCCAGAGAATGGAATCTGGCGACTTCTGGTCAGCCCGTGCCTTTACAGACCAGCAGCAGCAAATGCAGTTTTTTCACTTTTCAGAAAGTGAGTGGGAAGCAGAGCCCGGAGCACCGAGGGCCGGCTGGCCCGGCCGGCTTGAGACGCTAACGGCACCTCTGCTCCGGCACACGGGTCTCAGTTTTGATGCTAAGAACTGCCAAATAGCGGGAAGAGAAGGAAATCAGCGGAGACGACCAGTCGCTCATCTTCGGAGCC